GAATGCCAGTAGGGGGCACGAGAGGTACAGGGAAACCTGGGGGAACCAGGCAAGGTGCCCTTGTGGTAACTGCACACCTTGTTCCCTCTAAGCTGTGGCGTCTTGTGAGCACAAATTCTCCTTTGTGAGCTGCTGGCATTAAAGTTGTGAGTGAGCGATTTGGCTACTGCATAAAATTAGTTTGCTCTGGAGCCCTCCTTCCTGAGCGGAGACAAAAATGTGTGAGCCAGAGGCTAAAAAACTTTGAGCTGGCTCACACTAACTCAGCTTAGAGGGAACACTGGTGGTAACCAAGTATTTTTACGTGTGTTGTTCTGAACATGAAGGGGGAATCCAGGGGGAAACTTTGGTGGCTCCCAGCGGCAAAGGGAACACAGCACCTGAGGAACGCTAAAGCAACAGAGATAGATTCAGGTGGTATACAGAAGTCTCACTTGTTATTTAGGGTTGTTCCCTTTTAGATGTGTGAACCCACAGCCTCACGCTCCGGCTCTGCGTGCTGCAACCACAGCCACTCCAGACGCCAAACTGGCAAGGGGCGGCTCCCTTGATTAAAGAGGCTACTTCCTCTCCAGTCTTTGGTTCAGTTGGGGGCGGGGGAGCACTCACGAGCAACGCTGCTTCAAACGTCAGCTTTAGAAAATGCAGTACGGTTTATTAACAACCAGCGATATGGAAAAAAGCAAAAAAAAATATTTCAAACTGTCATAAGCAAAACGGGAGCTATAAACAAGTGCAAAAATTCCTCTCCGTTGACTGTCTGAGTCACTGTATTAAGCAAGTATCAAAACAACGGAGGCTGAGTTATTAGTTCTTGTTTACAGCTTGGGGAGGAAACACCAAGCCAGTTTGGTGTAGTGGTTAGGAGCGCAGACTGTAATCTGGGAGAACCAGGTTTGAGTCCCCACTTCTCCACATGTGGCTGCTGCTGTGACCTTGGGTCAGTCACAAGTTCTTTCAGAGCGTTTTTTTTTGGTTCTCTCAAGAGCCGTTTCTGTCAAGAGATCTCTCAGCCCCACCTACCTCACAGGGTATCTGTTGTGGGGAGGGGAAGGGAAAGGAGATTGTAAGCCGCTCGGAGACTCCTTCGGGTAGTGAAGGGTGGGGTATAAATCCAATCTCCTCCTCCTCCTCCTCCTCCTCTTCTTCTTCTTCTCAAGCTCACTCCCAAGATTGGAGCTGGAAGATGCTTTGCAGATGTTAAACTAGCATTCCTCCAGAAGGCCTGAACCACTGAAGCAACTGACAACTTTGACTTGCAGTTCAAGCATCTATAAGGGAGCAAACTTAAATAACAAGTGATACTTCCATGCAAGTGAGTACATGGTCTGAAGCAATAGAACAAACGTTGAGTCCAGGGGCATCTTTCAGACCAACAAAGTATAATTCTGGGGATAAGCTTCTGTGTGCCTGCACACTTCTTCAGATACCATATCAGATATTAGATGCTATCCGAAGAAATGTGCGTGGACACGAAAGCTTATACCCAGAATAATACTTTGTTGGTCTTAAAGGTGCCCCACTGGACTCCAACTTTGTACTAAAGCAATGGAACGAGGAAAATCTTCTCATGTCTAGTTGTACCTTTCCAGGATTTGATGGGTGGAGGCATCCACAAGCATATTTGACACCCTTGAGCAATGTTCCCTCTAAGCTGCGGAGTCTTGTGAGCAGAAATTCTACTTTGTGAGCTACCGGCATTAAAGTTGTGAGCGAGCGATTTGGCCACTGCATAAATTAGTTTGCTCTGGAGCCATCCTTCCTGAGCTAAGACAAAAATGTGTGAGCTGGAGGCTAAAAACCTGTGAGCTAGCTCACACTAACTCAGCTTAGAGGGAACACTGCCTTGAGCCATGCTCACTTTAGCTGCATCTGCCCTCCCCAGTGTTCCTTCTAGGCTGAGTTAGTGTGAGCTAGCTCACAGGTTTTTAGCCTCCAGCTCACACATTTTTGTCTTAGCTCAGGAAGGATGGCTCCAGAGCAAACTAATTTAGGCAGTGGCCAAATCGCTCATTCACAACTGTAAGGCCAGGAGCTCACAAAGTAGAGTTCTTGCTCACAAGACTCCACAGCTTAGAGGGAGCATTGCCTCCAACTATTTCTCTTGGGAACAGGGGCAACTATACATCCCAGAAATGTAATGCACACAGCTGGTTGATGTTAGGACAAAACTTCCAAAGTCAACACCATGCTTAGTTTTTGACCACATCTTAGGGTGGAGCTTCCCCAAAGCATACAGTGCTTGTCCTGCCAAATCAAGATGCCCCCTCAGCATAGGATCCCAGCAGCGAGAATTAAAGCAAAAGGATTAAGAGGAGGGAGACAAGACATGGAATAAGGAAGGAAGTCGAATCAAGGAAACCATCGAGACAGAGGCAAGCAGGCAACTGACCGACATTGCGCCATTGGGACAGAACTGCCAGCCACGTTCAGGAAATTGGCAGCGGTGTCGGTTTTTTGCAGCATGCTCTGTGCCCCCGTGCAACAACTGTTCAGGAACCCGAAGCACAATGCCAGCTTCTTAGTTTGTTGGGATTTCTGGGATTCCGAGCTTGAGAACAATTACTCAGGAATCTGGTGGCATCTGAAGGACTAACAACGTCGATTTCAATGTGCATTTTTGGTGCTGAAATAAATTTTGTTCGTCTTCAGGGGGCTACTGAACTCTTGGGTAGTTTTGCTGCTTGAGACTCAACACGGCTACCCTTCTGATATAGCTGAGAGCTAGAGACAGGATGAAATTTCATATGATATTGAGCTGCCTACGTTTTGACAGGGCCGGCTCACTCACTAGGCAAACTAGGCATTCACCTAGAGTGCTGGGCCCTGGATGGGGCGCCGAGCTGTGCCTCCCCCCCTGCCAAAAGCCCGCGAGCAGCTCTCCAAGTGTCAGCACTTCGCTAATTGGGGAGAGGCATCCGGTAAGCATCCCGCGCCTGGAGACAGGAACCCCCCCCACCTCCCTCCCAAACTGCCTTCAGAAGCGGAGCACAAAAGAAATCTCTCTTCTATCTTGGAGGGTGCTGCAGGAACGTGTGGGGCGTGCTCGCTGGGTCTGACAGCTGTGGGGGGGGGAGGAGGCGGTGGCTGTGGTAGCAAAAGAGTGGCTGGCTCCAGAGGTGTCCAGGCCCGACCGGGAGGTTGGCATCTGCGCCACAAGGCAGCCTCGCCTAGGGTGCAGAAACACCTCGAGCCGGCCCTGCGTTTTGAAGGCCATTCCTTCCTTCCTTCCTTCCTTCCTTCCT